CTTTTGATACTTTATGTATTTCATCTAATATATGTTTGTGAACTAGTTTAGATTCTCTATTGATTGATTATCTTTGATTGCTTATTTGTGGATCTTGACAAAACCTTTCCACATATTTGATCTAAGATTTTCATCTATAAATGAACAAACTTTTTACATGGTTTTGTAAGTTGATATTCATTGTATCTTCTATTTTATTGTGTTGATTAAGTAGCACGAGTAGGATGAGTAGGATCAATACGATATTGTGCGGGTGCATGATAATAGTGATGAAGAACGATGTTCAAAACCATTTGGTAGATTAGGTGAATACATGTAAAAAGGGTTAAGCATATGTACGCATTCTAATCATTGTGTTTAATATGAAGAAATCGTTTATCCGATATGGGTGTCGTCTTTGTTTACCTGTTTATCTTTGATTTGAACTGCTATAGACATGTACTCTTCAGATCTGGGTCTAGGATGATTACGTGTTAGGTCCTAAACTCTAGACATAGATTTAGGCTTAGCATTTGCGCGAGTATTAGTTCTTAATGCTCTTTGTTATGTTTTTGTTGCATGAGACAACACCAATGAGACAATACGGTTGTTCTCTCGATATTGCGTTAGAAATAACCTCTGTTGTGGATGATACGTGAGGATATTAGATGAATGATTGAGTTGTGTTTAACATGATCAGAAAAACGCATGTGTTATCAATTGATTAGATTCAATCCCAACAAGGCTCCGTTTATATTTCAGTATTTACTTTATATTTTCCGTCTTTATATCTTCTACCTTTTATTCATGGTACCTTGAACCTTTTAAACCGAACCTTTTGAATAACAAGCTTAGAAATGTAGAGACCGTTGAACGGTGTTTTTTCATCGCACCGATCCCTATGGAGACGATATAAATCCCAGAGGGAATTCCTTCAAAACTAATTTTTTGCTTCTTGCCGCTTTACTACAGTTTGAACATGATACGATAAAAAACCACCTAAAATACGTTTCACTACACACACACACACTCTCTCTCTCTCTCTCTCTCACACACACACACACACACTTTGCATAATAGAAAAAACTAATTTCACACACTTCATCACTCTCCTCACACACATAGGTTTAAGAATACATAGAGAATCATCACAACCTATCACATTGAATCTTCATCACTCACAACTCTTTCTTCCTTCCACAAACTTACGCAAATACAACAATTCAGAATATCAACAATCCAACAACAACAATTTGAGGAATAACTAAAGAAGAAGAAGGAGAAGTTGGGGAGAATAGAAGCTAGAATAAGTATCGAGAGGCCTAACCTAAAAGTTGTGTATTTTCATTTCCATCGTCTCCTCCGTCATGTATTTCCGTCAAGGTAGGTCGCTATTCATCTTTTATTGATATCACAAGGTAGAAAGGGTTGAGTAGGACATTTTCCCGTTAGTCTCTATCCAGAATTGGAAGTCATAATCGTTTAATTTTTCTTTTCAGTTTGTGAGGGTTTCTGCTTAGATTTAGGGTTTAATGGATGGAAATTGAAGGAAAAAAACATTATATGGTGCAAGAGGGGGCTTAAATAATATGATGATGTTTGATTTAGTTAATTTGGGGCTCCACCGCAGCCGGTGGCGAAATTCGACGCGACGGAGGGTTAAGGATTGATTCAGGTGAGAGAAGAGAAAATTGTGAGTTGTTTGCCTCATGTTTTGTTTAGACTCAAGTACTAATTACACCCTATCCTGCTTTCACACTCCCCTATGCCACTATTTAATGTTTTTTTATAGTTATTTCTTATTTTCTTGTTATTTCTTTGTATGATTTTGACTAACTTTTTTTGTCAATTTCTTGTGAAATTTTGATTGAACTTTTTAGTTATTTTTAATTGAAATTGTGATTTGGTTTTTTAGAATGTTGATTACTATTTTTATTAAGTTTGTGGTGGAAATTTTGATGGAATGTCTAATTAGAATCTTGATTGTTATTAGGATTTTGATTGAGCTTTAAGTAGAATTGTGATTGATTTTAGTCGATTTTGATTAAATTTTTTTATTAAACTTTGAGTAAATTTTCTTGTTGATTTTATTAGATAATTTTTTATAAGATGTCTTGTTAAGATTTAATTTAATTGCTTATTGAAGTCTTAATGAATTTAGTTGAATTTTGTACTTAAATTTCTTGATAAACTTTGATTGAATTTGATTGGATTTTTGTTAGAATTCCTTGTTGGGCTTTGTTTAATTCATGTTGAATAAAATGGAACATAATGAACCTAAAAGAAATAATAAGACTTTAAAAATTATGGTCCATTAAACCCTTGCTTTGGAGTTTTGAACTATTTGCTTTGGAGTTTTGAACTATGGACTAGTTGTTAAACCATAGAAGACCTTTGCTTTGGAAGGTTCTTTGGACTATAAGGACTATGGACTTAACAAAATCAACATTAACATTTTGACATAATCATAATTCACCTTACTTGCTTGATTTTTAGGGTTTTGACTTGTGTATCTTATTTGATATTGATTTATTATTTTTATGCTTAGTTTCTACTCACCATTTGATTACATCATATCGCATCCATTTTGCATATTAATAAATATTTCTCCTTAGTGAGGTACCACTTTGAGGCTTTGGATCATGTCTTAGAATTTAATTCACTTTCCCCTTTTATTGTACTTTTATTCCTCTATTCCTTTCAATATGTCATCCTCTCCATTGTGAAAAAAATGTCCCTCATTTCGATTGGAATGAAATAGCTTAGGACTTTACATTCTTTAGTGTTTTATGCTTGCATGTTTGTATGTTAAAAAAGATAAAAACAAAGCGCTTAGAAAAAATTTCAAAAACAAAGATAGAAATAACGTTAGAGTCATTTTCAAACTAATTAATTAAATTGCTCATTACATCCCACCTTAGGATTTTCTACACATTTCCACTCCATTACACCACAAGCAAGCCTTGTATGTCTCCACACCACAAGTCGATTGCCTTGCGCATCACCACCAACCTACCCTAACTCAATCCACCACCCTTTCAAATTCATTCCACTTCCTTAATTATCATCTCATTCTTCATTAAAACTAAAACCTTAGTTTTTGGAATGCCCTATCCTAAGTGTTTGACATTATCTTTAGGGTTCACTGTTTAAACACTTACCTTTTGAAGTAAAACACTTCCTAAATAAAACGAGTAGTGTCTTCCTCGTATTGGACTAAAACGAGTGTGATCTTGATACTCGTCTTTCAATACGAAGACGTGACTATACTCGCCACACATTTTTCCAAACAATTTTTTTTGCGATAAAGACTTGGGTACTACCCTTATGGGTTCCTATCCGAGGACTTATCTCTCCCCTAAAAATCAATATCACCAATCAAACGTGCCATATTTCCTCGAGGGTGCAAATCATAATCTTTTTTGTAAAAGGACTTGTTATTTTCGTTCTACCACAACACAGACTAAAGCATAAGTCTCCTTACGTGCGAGCGAAAAAATCTAATGCTAGAATGAGAACGTTAACATCGTTTGCTAAAATCAAAGAATACACACTTAGTTCCAAGAACTACGGAGCTCTGACTTTCTCATTGCACGAGACGATATGTAGGCACAAGATTGCGAGATCTTGGCGAGCAACCTTCTTTCATTTCTCCCTAGTTCCACGAACTACGAGACTCTGACTTCCTCATTGCACTATGAGGTTACGTAGGCACGAGGGCCTCAATCCTCTGCGAGCACACTAATTTAAAAATCATTTTTTTAATAAAGCATTCATAGAAAACATTATACCTTAGCAACATCCTTACACATAAGACAAACAAATGATTTCCATCAAGTACGATAGATGTGAGAGGTGCTAATACATTCCCTTGCATAATCGGCTTCCGAACCCGTATCTTGGTTGCCAGACCATCTTATCCTTCCCTTTTAGATTTTCTCGATGTTTCCCCTTCCCTTTGGGATAAATAAAACTCGACGACAACTCTATGATTTTTCGTGTATCGACAATGAGAAAAAAAATATATAATCAAAAGGTATGTTTGGAAAAGAATAATTAATGCACTTTAAAAGTTGAAGAAGGTCTTATAAAAAAAATAAGAAAAAATCTCAACAAAAATCTTATATTTGAAAGATACCATTTTTTATTAGGTAAAATACCATTTTTTTTTTGTCCTTTAAATGTATATCTTTTGGTTTAAATTGGTTTCTTAATTTTTTTTTTCGTGTCAGATTGGTCCCTTAATTCTTAAAACGTGTCATGCTAATCCATCATTGTTAGAGTAGCAAAAGGACTAACATGACATATTTTAAGAGTTAAGAAATTAATCTGACATAGAAAAAAATTAAGAAATCAATTTGAATTTAAAGATATAATTAAAAGATTAAAAAAGATATTTTGCCTATTTATTATTATTATTGATTTTTTGCTTATAGCTAACTTTGGATAAGTTTCTTGATTAAATTTAAAGTATTTTGTTAATTTAGGTATTCGAGTTAGTCATAGCAGAAAAACAAAAAGCATTTGAGTTGTTAGATGAATGCTTCCTACCTTGAATGTATCACAGAATGAGTTTTAGTGCATTCATATGTTCATCCTTCAGATCATGCATGTGTAGGCACACTTGCTGGAAAACACATGACATATCCGGTCTTATAAATGTAAGATATTGTAATGCACCTGCTAATATCAGATACTATGTAGGATCTTTGTAAGAAGATTCCAAGGAGATACTTAGTTTAGATTTGGTATCCAGTGGCGTAGTTTAGTTAAATTAGGTTTTCAAGTAACTTATAACAGAAAGACAAAAAGCATTAGAATAACTGGATAGATGCAGTATAAAAAGTCATTATAAAATTCATTGCATAAATCAAATAGTAAGCGCTATAAAGGACAGATTAAGTAGTGGTGGCATTTTGAGAACATAAATACTATCAATTATGTAATATCAAACTGTAATAGGTGCTGATTTTTTATTCAATTTGCACTAATCTATTAATTTTTATTTAATATATGATGATCTACAAATTGAAATTGGGGGTAGTTACCACAATAGGGCTCCTTACCACATGTTTCCCATCATTCCAAGTGAGATATCCAAAAGATACTTCATTGTTCTGTGTCACTTTTTCTCCTTCAATCTTCAACTTGAAACTTATCTTCCGGTTCTTCTTATTGAAGACCAACTTATTTGGTACAACACTGATATTAAACCCTTTAATCGGAGTAATGCTAGCAAAATAAGTTGATTGTCCTTCGTCAACGCTGGTAACTGTTCTGCGAAAGTTATGTGTTGTCCTTACAGAAGAATTTCCAGCCTTTATGAAAGCAATAAAAGAAGGGTAGTTAAGATCTAAGGAAGGTTTAGAGCAATCGTTGAAAGGCGATCTTGTAATGGTAGCGATGTTTTGTTGTGTGAAATTAAGTGCACAAAGAAGATTAACGTAATCTTGTATACCAGCATCATAAACAAGACCGGGATCAAGTGCTCTATTGGGGTTGATGTGACCAGCTCCCAATGCTAAAGGGGTTGCATCTTTGTTATCATTGGCAATTTCTTTGATGGGTTTCTTAGTATTATCAAGTATGTCTGATGTTGTCATCATTGCTGACCTAATAGCTGCCGGGCTCCAATCAGGATGCGCTCCTTTTAAAAGTGCGGCCACGCCAGCAACGTGAGGGCATGCCATAGATGTTCCCGATAAAAACTTGAAGTTGTTGTAGACTTTGGTTCCAAAATTCAACACAGGAATATTTGTTGGCCATGCAGCTAAGATTGATGTACCGGGGGCTGTAATGTCAGGTTTCAACACATATGGACAACTATTTGATGGCCCTCTTGAACTATAAGAATCAACCCTAGGTGATGGTTTAACATCAAAAGCTGTTTTCTTGAAAGACATGTTTTGTATTTTACTAGAGTTAGAGTACCTCAGTATGTAATCTTTGACAATTTTTCCGTCTTTCTGATTAATAACGATGGATGGAAGCGGATACCATAAGAATTGTGATAGATCTTGTTGTGATGCGTTTGAAATGAAAACACCTCCAACAACGTTTGTGGAATACGCATTATAAAATTGACTAGAAAGAAATCCTTTCTTGTCTTCACAAACTACAATCTTGTGCTTAATTTTGATTAGTTCTTCAGGATTTTCACAAGTATCCATGAAAACAACTGGGATATTAGTAGCAGAGAAATTTCCTACATAAGAAGATAAGCCAGTGAGTGAAACTCCATTACCAAGTGTAAGATTTCCAATGAATTTGCGATCCGAAGTACTGGCAGCAACGTTTATCACCCAAGGTACTCCATTGTGAAGAGTTTGAGAGGAAGGTCCACTATTACCTGCTGAAGTAGACACAAAAACACCTTTTTCCATAGCTGCAAACGTGGCTATTGCAACAGCATCTTCGTACAAGGATACATTGTTATAGCCTATTGACATGGAGAGAACATCGACACCGTCTGATAATGCAGCATCAATTGAAGCTATTATATCAGATGACATTGCATTTCCCTCTGCTCCCCACACAGTCTTGTATATGGCTACTCTAGACAATGAGGCTATTCCTCTCGCAGTTCCATTCGCATAACCGAAGAAAGATGCACCATCAACTTTGCTTCCAGCTGCTGTCGTTGAAGTATGCGTTCCATGACCTGCTGTGTCACGTGAGTCATTCCCAATGGTTTTACTAAGGTTAGAATATTTCGCCAAGAACCCTTTGTTGAAGAATCTAGCTCCGATGAGTTTCTTGTTGCAAAAAGATGAATGGTTGGAATTATCAAATTGACATAATTTTCCTTTCCATTTAGAGGGTATTTCAGTCATTCCATCATCTTTGAAACTTTCACTTTCTGGCCAAACACCAGTGTCAATTACACCAACAATTACATCTTTGCCATACTCAGAAGCTGGCCATACTCCTTTGTAGGGATTAAGGCCAAGGAATTGAGGTGTGTGGGTTGTGTCAAGTTTCAAGGGTAAATCGCGTATAGAAGAAACGTAACCATGAGAGTTTTTAAGAGATTCATGATCTTGAGGTGATAGATTAGCACTAAAACCATTCATAACATTAGTGTATGTATAAAGGATTTTAGAAGAAGCAGAATTGAGATTATTGTTGGTAGTTGTAACTTGAGAAAGAGTAGAATGGTACCAAGTATGTTGATTTGAGAATACTTTAGGCATAACTGATGAATCCATGTGAATGATATAATTATCAGATTGAGCAAATGTAAAAATAACAAAGTGAAGGCTTGTAATGTAGAAGAATAACAAATAGAGATAAATTTTGGAAGCCATGGATGTTTTGAACTTGGATGGCTATCAAAACAATGTATAATATATTATATATTGCTTTGATATAAATCTTACAAGAACACAGAAAAGTGCAGTCACTTTGTTGTCTATGATTCAATATAAAAATAAAAATTCTAGATATATATGAATTTTAGTGTTTTTTAGGTTATAATTAGAATTGGATGATATATTTGGAAATTATAGATTTTTGCAAAAATTAAAATAAAAATTATTATGATCGAACTAATTTTAATACATTCAAATAACTGGTAGAAACTGAAAAGCCAACACCATAATGGTGAATTGTTTCAAAATTATAAAAAAAAAACTGTCAAATATAATTAATAAGTAATTAATCAAAATAAAATAGAATTACATACAAAATAATATTTGTAAGAATAAAATATTGATTTCATTTTTAAGGTTTTATATGTTGAAGATTTTCTAAAAAATATGAAATTTCTTTATATAATAATGGTAATACAAATAAAGAATGATTACATCATTGTAAATTAAAATATTGAATTTAGTATTTTATGATCTTCAGCCAGGCATTTGTTATTATTATTAAATGTAATATCTTTTCCTTAACAAATTAGAATACGTTTCTGAAAATTTAATTTCGGAAAAGATTGAAAATTTTATCTCTTTAAAAGGCAAAAGAGACGAAGCAACAAAATGTCAAAGTTTGATATGTTAAAAGAAATAAAGTAACATGAATTTATTTTTAAAAATGGTTGATTGCAATTTTGATTATTCTATTTTTATTTTTTTAATGTTTAATTTTGATAATTTCATTTTAAAATTTGATCTTATTGATTATTATATTTCAATTTTTTAAGAATTTGGTCAATCGTTTCATTTGAGTCTGTTTTTTATAATGTGATAATTGAATTGATGAGGTAATAGATTAGGTGGCAAAATTAAAAATTCACATTATTTATAATTATTTTTCATTTCAATAATAATATAAATTATGATATTTATTAAAAAATACAAAAAACAAAAAAAACATTTACATTATATCATAATAAATTATAAAATAATTTATTTTTTAAAGAATAAATAATTTGAATTATTATATATAAACTTTTTTTTATGAAAATAAATAATTATATATAAATTTTTTAAAGGATTAATGATAGACTTTGCAAAATAAAAGTTTTATACTATAGGGTCTTGATTAACACATAGTAGGATCTGTTGGAATTACATTAAACCTATAGAGAATTCTGAATCAAATTTGATGAACAAGAAGAATCAATCACATCGATCGATTTCGCCTCTTATTCGTCACTCTTCGCTCAAGTGAACCAACCACACCTTGGTTGTAAGATGATTCTCCTGCATAGAAATTTGAGAAGAAAAGAATAAATGAATTGAGGAAGAAAAGAGAAATTAGGGTTTTGAGAAAAGAGGAAGAAGAAGAATATTTCTGCAGAGTTTCTCTCTGTTTTGAAACTGAAGTTTATTCAATTTTTTCTTTATACAACTGCGTTATTACAATGATAGAGTGCCTCCCTATTTATAGAATGTGATTTCTTACACACAAAGCAATCTCCAACTAACCTAACTAACTCAACTAAAACAAACAAATAAAGTAAAGTCAAAATAATGCCGAGATACACTTTTTTGACATTTCAACAACTATACAATTTCTAAACAACAACAACAACAAACTTTGTCAAAATGGTGCTTTGACATAAAGAATTATATTCTCAACACGCCACCTAATTTATTGTATCTAAGCTTTCCACGTTCATTGTTATTCTTAGTCTTTCGAACACTTCGACTAGCACATCTTTCGTCATGATGTCTACAATCTGATTCTTAATTCTGCAGTGTTCCAAGTTTAACTTTTCATTTGCTACTTGCTCTCGAAGATAATGGAACCTCATTTCGATGTGCTTGCTTCTTCCATGTGCTATCCGATTTTTCACTAGATTGAGAGTAGACATATTGTCGATCTTCATGGTAATTGCTCCATGATTCTTCGTTGTAATTTCTTCAACCAAATTGACCATCCACATTGCTTGACATGCACAGAGAGAAGCAACTATGTACTTTGCTTCACACGACTATAGTTCCATTATTGGTTTTTTCTTGAGTTTCAAGCAACTGATCCACCACCTAGCATAAACACATAGCCAATTGTAGATTTTCTATCCTCTGCATTTTTACACCAACTTGAGTTAGTGTAACCCAGTAGCTTGCATTCTTTTTCTTCATCGGATGCATTTAGATACCTTAGTACCCTCTTCGTTGCTGCTAGATGTGATACATTTGGCTTTTGCATGAATCTACTCATCATACCTACATTGTATGTTAGATCAGGCATTATGTGACAAAAGTATCTTAATGACCCAATAAGTCTTCTGTATTGTGTTTGGTCGACATCATCTTCCTTTGAGTCTTTTGACAATTGTAGTTTTGGTTTAGCAAGTGTCAAAGTTAAATTGCAGTCTTCCATCTCAAATCTCTTAAGTATCTCATTTGCATATCTTCTTTGATGCATAATCAAGCCTCTACTACTCTTGTAAAATTTGATGCCAAGGAAGTATGAAATGTTGCCCATATCAAACATTTCAAATTCCTTGTTAATATCACCTTTGAAGTCTTCGATCTCTATCTTGCAACTACCCGTTAACAACAAGTCATCGACATAGAGACATGGTATAAGCAATTCCTTATTGTTTCTTCTTACATATACTCCATGCTCAGTTGTGCACTTCACAAATTCCTTCACCCTTAGGAAACTATCTATCTTCTTATTACAAGCTCTTGGAACTTGCTTAAGTCCATACAGGGCTTTATGTAGTATGTACACCATACTTTCTTCACATTGTTTCACAAACCTAACTGGTTATGCAACATAAACTTCTTCATCTAAGGGGCCATTTAGAAATGCATATCTCACATCCATCTAACACATATGCCAGTTGTTCATGTTTGCTAGACCAATAACCAACCTGATTGTTTTGATCCTAGCAGCAAGTGCAAAACATTTGTCGAAGTCGATTCCTTCTTTCTGAAGAAATCCTTTTGGCACAAGTCTTACCTTGTGTCGAGTTACTTATCCTTTGGGATTTAACTTCACCTTATATACCCACTTCACATCAATTGCCTTCTTGCCTTGAGCTAATTCGATAAGTGAACAAATGTTGTTGATTTCAACGAACTTCAGGTCCATTGCTTTCATCTACTTCAAATCCTTCAATGCCTCAACTGCATTGAGTGGTTCGTTATTTGCATAAAAAACATAATGCACCAACTCACCTTCGTCATTGACCACATCATCTGATGTAATTATACATTCTTGCAATCTTGTAGACATTTTTCTTGTTCTTTTAGATCTACTTGTACTTGTTTGACCTTTATTTTCTTCTTGTCGAACTTCTCTTTTGACTTCACTTGCTAGTTCTTCACATAGGATTCATATCGAATCCTTCTTGACATTTCTAGTCCAATAGAATTCCTTAAACTCATCTATGATCATGTCCTTGCTAATCACTACTTGCTTATTCACTGGGTCGAACAACTAATATGCTCTAGTCGAATGATATCCTATTAGGACCATTTGACTTAACTTGTCATTAAGTTTTCTTCTCAACTGATCAGACACATGTCTATGTGTTATAGATCCAAATACTTTCAGATGAATCAAGCTAGGCTTGACACCAGACTGACATTCTTTTGGCATGATTCCTTCTAGCTTATTCGTCAGACATCTGTTCAGTATGTATGTTGCAGTCGACAAAGCTTCTCCCCATAATTCTTTGGATAGATGCTTGCCTTTCAACATATTTCTCACCATATTCATGATGGGTCTATTCTTCCTTTCATCAGTTTCATTTTATTGTGGAATGTAGGGTGGAACCACCTCATGCACAATCCATTCTTTCTCACATAATGTGTCGAAGTCATTCGACACATTCTCCACCACCACCAGTCCTTAAAATCTTGAGCTGTCGACGATTTAAAATTTGAAAATACCTCAATCACTTTACTTTTCTTCTTGATCAGGTATGTCCATAGTTTTCAACTGAAATAATTTAAGAATGTGACAAAGTATTTGTTACCTCCAATCGAATCTACTTGAATAGGACCACACACATTAGAGTATACTACGTCAAGAATTGCCTTTGACTTGCTTCCTACATCCTTGTTGAGGCTATTCTGGTGTTGTTTTGCCTGCAAACATTCTTCAAATACTTCATTTGGAATGTCGGTTTCTGTTAATCCTAAAACCATGCTTCTCCTCTTTAGATCTCTGATGTCTTTGAAATTGAGATGGTCTAGTTGATAGTGCCATATCCATTCATCCTTGCTAGTTGCAGTTGCAAGGCACCTGTGCTCCATCATATTAAGTTCAATCTTGAATGTTCTATTTTGAGACATAGGAGCCTTAAATATTAACCTTCCACATGAGTCGAGAAATATCATTATCTTTTCTTCAATTGACACTTTGTAATTCTTTTCGACTAAATGCCCTATGTTGAGCAAATTACTTTTCATGCTTGGTATATAAAATACATTGGAAATTTCTGACATTTTCCCATATTTCCTCATAACCAGAACATCACCAATACCTTTAGCTACTATGGTATTGTCATTTGAAAATTTCACCATGTTCTTCATCGAGGGTTTTATGTTGACAAATCAATATATCCTTCTAAACATGTGTGATGAGCATCATGAGTCCAAGTATCATTGGTCCTTGAATCTTTCTTCATTTCATGTTGTGACCATCAGCAACATCTCTTCTTCATCATGTTTTGCAAACTTTGCATCATTTTCTTGATTCTTTTGTTTTTAAGGACAATCACTAGAGCAATGGCCATACATGTGACAATTGAAAGACTGAATGTGACTTTTGTCAGGTTTTCGACCACCACATCTCCCTCTACCAACACTACCACTTATGTGGTTACTTTGGCATGAGGCTCTTCTCAAGTTTGATGCATTTCCTTTTTGCTGGTTTCCTCTACTACTGAAATTGTTGT